AGTACAGCCAGTCTAGACATGGTGATGTTACAACTGCTAACAACCTTTAGAGGGTGCTTCTCTTGCAGCCTAGAGGGCCACTACTGCTTTCAGAAAGTGCAAGAGATATACCTTCTTTCAAACACATTTTATGTCTTACTCTGAAAACTGGGCACGCCCTCCTCTGACAATTAGAAGATTTTTTTTAAACATGGGAAAAGCATTGTTTTGCTTAACATGTTCCCTTCTGCATTCTCCATCCCTAAATAAGGGTGAGGCAAACCAAAGAAACGAAATTTTAGTCTGAAATGCTGAAATGTGGCAAAGTTATAAGAAACTGACTCTGGGCAGTTTCTACACTGTTTGTAGGCTACACTATAGCCTGATTCTTAAACTATGTTGTAAAATGAAATTCCAAGGTAAGGTCAGGTTGTAAATGTACCAGGTAAGAAGTGGTGATTGACATAAAGCAGTGACATCTGAAGAGAAAGATACATATAGAGGAAGAAATTGATGTAATTTATTGCTGACATGGCTTTACCTCATCTCTCTTTCTTCCTTTTAATGTGTTCAATTTTGGGCTCAGAAACGAATAAAAATTAGTTTAATAAAATTTCCCAACTGAGATGCAAAGTATTTGGAAATGCTTTTAAAGTATACCATGCAGCTGAAATGTCATCATTAATTTTAATCTGCAGCATGCGTTTAATGTCCTCGGGCTATTTCAACGGTGCAGAAGATTGTAATCATTCACCTGTTCAAGTAAATGCAGCTTTAACAGGTCTGATCACAGCTAAAAAGGAGGAATGGAGAGGACAGGTAGACAGATGGTGTTTCAGTATGTCATCTGTGAATGATACCTTGGTAACTCCTTGAGAGGAATTATCTGGCTATAAAGAAAAAAACCTGTAATATAAAGTGGACTGGTTCCTGTAATAACAACTTTTTCTAGGTTTTCCTTTGACAAAGTTTTCCAAGGGAATGTTTTGAAATGAAGACTGTGTTAGTGCAGTTTCTAGCTGGTATAACACAGCCTTCCCTATGGAGACAAAAAAAAAGTGAGATGTCACAAAAGTGTCATTACTGATGACCAGAGCACCCTTTAATAAGTGATATCAGGTATTGTTCTTACAGCAATATCTCTTTTCTGCTTCCCCTCACCAGCATTTTGGCTTTTTTTGCCTATGTTCAAAAATTTCTAGAGCCTCATTGATCAAGATTTTAATTAATGATTGTTCCTCCCCCTTGAGCTTCACTGAGAGGAGAGAGGAGCTTTGCTGTAGTGAGTGAGGCTGTGTTTGTCCTTGGGACAGGTGAAGAAATGGGGGAATCTTGACCTTCAGTGAATCTTTACCTGGGTATCATGAGCTGGTCTTCCTCCAAGATGTGCTGATACACTGATGTACTGAGAGTGCTCCCTGAGATCACACCATGTATAGGAACATTGTGTCTCTCTAGGAGCCTTTTTTCTGCCCTGAAGAGAGTAAAATGTAGAAAATTGAGCTGTCCTCTTACATTAGCTTGAGAATTTCTCATTTCCTGAGACTTAAGTTTCAGTAAATGAACTTTTTCACCTGCTTTTTTCCAGTGTTACATGCTTTTTTCTTTGGAAGGTAATGTCCTCTGCAATCTCAATTTTAATTTGTGTATTTAATTTTTCTTTTAAGAAAAGCACCCTGATCTTCCTTCAGCCCACACTGATCTTAGTTCATGTGAGGTAGATTAAATCATAAAAACCTTTTTCACGGGAGACTTTTTCCCATGTAGCAGTAAACTTGACCCAAAATCATGTCACTTGTAAATGGAAGGTAAACTGTTTGAAGTGGTAATGAAGGAAGTTCCTGCTGCATGACAGGAAGTTTTGATAAGATCACATTCATTGGGAGAGTACTTATCAGAAGAGCTGTAATTCATTTTGTGGAGACCAAGGTCTCAATGGAAAGTAGTTCAATGGGAAGACCTAGTTGTTCATCCTCTTAACAAAATGCACTTCCTTCCTTTGGGCACTGCCTTTGAAGAGGCAGATGTGGATGTCCAGGTCATCTCCCATTTACACAGTGTCTTGCTTTCTTGGTGGCTTCAGAGCAAGTAACAGATGATAATGTGTTTTTCAACTTGAGCACAGTAAAATCCCTCAGACCTGTCAGTCATTCCTTCTCTGGGAAAAACATGAACATTTGCCAGGAGAGTGGAGAGCTCTCACTTGTCCCTCACGAGGCTGTGATAACAATGTCATTCTCTTCCCATTCCCCACACTGTGCTCAAAGCATCCATCTTCTCAAATTCTTGTTTCTTTTTCAGAACCTCATGGCTTTTAATCTGAACTATCCTTTGTGCTTTCCCTGTGCTCAGCTGAAATATTTTACAGTGTAATATTTAAAAAAATGCAGGATAGCTGCCTATCTTGTATCTCACCATACTTCAATACTGAATATTATTTTATCTGACCTCTGTTTTTCAATTAATTTTGCTTAACAAACCTTTCTGGCAGAGTACTGAGAGCTTAGAGATAGTTCAGAGTCAGAACAGCACCACAGCCTCTCAACCTCTTCAACTCAGCAGTCTCTTGTGTAGAGAAAACAATGAAAGAAACAACAAATGGCAGTTTTCCAGACAACCATGCTGTTTGTAGAAAAATCAGATTTTAAAAGGACTGAAGTAGCTGGATAAACATTTACTTTGGGAAAACCAAGAATCAAGCAAGGGTAGTAGAATCATAGAATCATAAAATGGCTTGGATTTGAAGGAACTTTAAACATCCTTTTGTTCATCCAGTTAATCTAATAATCTAATTCCAACTTGCCCTGATGCACTAGACCAGGTTGCTCATACCCTTTTGCACAGTGTAATATTGAAAATAGAAGGCAAGGAATGAGTTTTAGATGTATAGAATCATAGAGGTATGATTCTGGTGGATTTGAAACTTGAAAAACATTCACTGTGGAGAAGGTTAAACACCCACTTCAAAGAGATGGAACAAAATGCCAGGACCTCTCTGGTATTTCCCAGTATATTATGGGAAATCCTGTAAAATCTTCATTTCAGTAAGCATGTATTTGGCTGGTGTTCTGCATACTTAGGTACAGCAAAGCTCCTTGTGGTTTTGCGAAAAAGATTCATGTGAACATTGTGTTACAAACAGCTGATGAAACAGGCACAGCTCTCAGTCTTTAAGAAAGAACATGATGGTACAAGACTCTCTGAGTGGCCTAAAGCGAGACACTGGATTCCCCAAACAAGAACATACATAATCTAGTGTCTTAGAGGAATGTGCTTTTAACCAACTGGGTTTGAGTTGTGGCTTCATACACCATTGACCATGTTGCCATACCATGAACAGGAAAAGCAGTTCCACATTCTTTCTTCCTCCTGCAGCCACAACAGGTTTTTCACATCTCTCCCCAAGGTCCGAATGCCTGAGGGACTGCAGATTGCTGGAGAAGAAAGGAGGGGAAAAACGGTGATGGCTGTTTTCCTGCTTGGGTTTCCATGAAGTGAGTGTGGCCAGCTGCTTTTCTGGCTGTCCGGTAGCATATAGAAAGTCTGGGGAAGAGTCTCTTGGTAGACATGAAGAGGTGGATGAAGCTGTGGTGGGATTGTGGAGCAGTATCAGGCACATTCCCACACTTGAGGAGAGGAGGGCAGTGTCTCAGCTGTGCACAGGGAGCTTGTCCCTGCAGCAGCCCCGGTGGGAGGGAACGGCTTTGTGCCCTTCACCTCTGTGTCTGATCCCAGTGGGAGTCAAGTGGTGGGGGCAGAGCTCAAAATCACCACAGGCATTTTGTTCCCACTTTGATGGGTTGTAGCAGCAACCCGGCTCTTAACAACTTCCTTCTAGGGCAAATTATACCAGCCACCACTTTGCAAAGGTTGCTGTAATGACTTTTAAATGGGAATTTTTCCAGGAGCCATGATACAGATCATAAGTAATTGCAATCATATGATGACTTTGTCATATGATTGGTTTCTCATATTTTGTAGTAACTGCTATGATGCCATGCATAACTGGAAAGAAATACAGTATGTTTCTGCTTTCTTAAGAATAAGAATTGATGGTCAAATAGGGAATGGTCCTTAAAATTCTGCTGTGTAGTCATGTAAATCTGTCTAGTGTGAATAGAAGCATAGAATCATAGAATATGCTGAGTTAGAAGGGATCCACGGGATCATTGAGTCCAACTCCTGGCACAGTGCAGGACACCCCAAGAATCACACCATGTGCCTGAGAGCATTGTCCAAATGCTGCTTGAACTCAATACAGTCTTTCTTATCTGAGACCATCTAAACTAATGCTGTACCCATGGATTTGCTATTATTTGATTCTGAGCTAAATTGTTGGATATTAGTGTAGTAACCTACCATGTAAATAATTCACTGAGTTGGGTTCATGAGAGAAGCAAGAGTGACTTTGGCATGAGTTGTGCCTTCTGATTAAACTATGGCTCCTTATTCTCCAAAGACTCTGATTTTAAAAGAAGGAAGATTCCATACTCTTATATGTCTCTTTTATCAGTATTTGAAAGTTGGGAACGTATGGGCAAAGCAAAGAGTAATTGATTTAACTCCTATATAGCTATATAGTGGGTATAGCTTTCCAAATAAATTACTGCTGTTAACATCTGCATTTAAATAAGTCACAGAACAGTAATGCTACCTGTCAATAATACACCTTCTCTTTTTGCAGGCAGTGTTTCTGGTGTGTATCAGTGAAAGGATGTAACTGAAAAAAACTAATAAAAATGCTAAGAAAGGAATAAAAGCAATGGCATTTAACCTAAGATAACTGAATACTGCTAAACTAGATCTGGGTCAGACCAATGCCTCTCATCCCAAAAAAACTCAGTAGATTTAACACTGCATCTAGCCAGTGGGTTTTTTAGCTACTTAGAGCCTTTAGAGGTGAGTTTATTTTTAAGGAAAAGTTAGCAGATGAGCTAATTCTCACATAACAGTGTAGTTCTTATGAAAATTGTCACAAGAAATGAATAATAAATACCTGTTGGTTTTTTTTTTTTCCATAGGCATCAGGGTTATGTTTATACCTACAGAGTGTCCCAGACAGAAACTGGATCCTGGAGTGCTGAGGTGTGTAGTTCTCCTTTCCCTTCTGAAAATTTCTACATCCTGTTTGATATAGATTATAGATTTAATGAAATATATTCAAATTATTCATGTTTCTGCCTAGTCTGATTTTCATTGATGGTAATCGATCTAGAGTGCATCCATCAGTAAGATGTCTTGGTGCCACGTCTGACAGTCTAGAACTCATAAATTAATTCCCTGTTTCATTTCAGCTGTTGCATAATGCAATAGTGCATCATTTTGCATCATTTAAAATGGCAAAAATATTGTGGTTTTATAATTTGACAAGCACAATCTGTTTCCTTCTATCCTATGTACCATCAATGTCAGAATACTAAAGAAATAATTTTCAATATATGGTGTTTTAATTCATTAATCCAGATTAATTAATCATTAGTGCAAAATATAGCCAAAACTTGATACAAAATATATTTTCACCCATCTGATAATAAATTGGTAATCTGGGTGCAGAAAAACATTACTTGTAATACAGACAACATTTAGGTTGATGAAATTGGGATGTTAATCTCTATATATTTTATGATTTTTTCCCTTTGGATGTACTCTGTATCTTAATTAATAATTAGCTTTCTGTTTTTATGTTAATAAACATTTATGTCAAATATTGTATAATTTCTAGACAGGCATAGTTCCTTGGCCGTTACTGTATTGGAAGTGATTCTGGAACACAAAACTGATTCTTGGGGTTACCCTGAACAGATCAGGGGGTGGAAGTGACTGACATTACTGTGGAGTAGGTAATTATCCATGTGACTCTTAGGAATAGTGCCCAGTATTTCTTCCTATAAGACATCAGGATGTTGATGTAAGGTTTAGGATTTGTAGTGCCCAAGATGGAAGATTTTCAGGACAGGGTGAGGGTGACAGTGTAATAATATGCCAGAGTAAGCACTGGCATCTGTGGAAGAATGCCATGATGCCAGGGGCCTCCACCTGTGCAGGGTAATTCCATGACTGAGGCTGTAGCCTCTTTTTACCCCAGATGACATCAGCATCTGCAGTGAGGTTTTTCTGGTGCTATATAGACGTGCTGTAATGTCTGGCCTGTGCTGCTGCCCTGTGTGTGGCTTTTGGGCTTTCCCTGGCTGTATTTTAGGCAAACCTTACCTGAATTTCATACCATAGGTATGCTGAAGGCCCAGGCTTCTCTGTACATTCTCTGCTGGAGAAGGTCCTAGTTTCAGATCCTTGATACCAACCCATAAGGAACAGAAACCATTAAGTAAATGTTGTAAGACCATGTTGGCTTCAGCTGTTAGACACAGCAGCCTAGGTCCAACTTATCCCCACAGAGTGTGCCTCCAAGGCCAAAACAGACTCCAGAGGCAGCTGGTCCTTTCCTGCTTCTGCTTCCTTCCCTGTGGCTGGTTAGTCTCTGAGCAAGCTCAGGTCACACCCATCTTTCAAGGTAGGGAATTTAAAACAGTGCTGGTGCAATCCCAGCCAGTGTGAAGATTCCAGCTGGTTTCAGGGAGGCTGTATTTACCTCACAGCTGCTGGGTGAGAGCAGTGTTCCTTGAGTGGGACTATGTTGGCAGGACCCATGCTTATCCTCCCTTGACTTTGGTGAAGAGGAGTTATTATGAGAACACTCTGAAGGATTTAACAAAAACATTGTATTTTTGATTAAAAACAGAGTTTCATTTAATACTGTTTGAAAAATTGCTAATTTAGAGAGATAGAATAAATTCACTTTGAATATATAGGTAACATTTGGCTGCTGTCTGTACAAGAAGTAGACAGGAATACTGAATGAACACATAAGCCAGCACTGAATGCTCCAAGAAGGGTTTGCAAAGAGGCTGTGTCCTTGCTGGAATTTAGTGGTGTGAGGACTCCCTCTCTGTAGTAAGCATAGGTTGCTCTCTAGATTTTCTCACTGGTGTTCCTAGGATGGAACTATCTTACTGATACAGGCTAGAAAGTTATTGGTAAGGAGGTTAAATCACTGTCTGCAATAAGTCAGGGTCAGAAATAGAAAAGGGTCACTTTAATTCTGCCTAATTAGTGTGGCAGGTGAATGTGGGTAATTAGCGTGGGTTTCTCTTGTAGTGATTAAGAAGTTGTCCCTCTTCACCTTTCTATTGCCATGCTGCTGGGAACTGCTCAGTGTAGGAAGGCTGGGGTGCCCTGGGGAAAGCAGAGAGCAGTGTGGCTCACTGACTCCCTGGAACAGGCACACCAGGGGGTTCACATCCATGGCTGTCTCCTTCCCTGGGAGCTGTGTGCATTTCTGAGGACAAGGCCTGTGTGCCAGCACAGAGTACCCAGCCCCCCTTCTCACCTCTCCCGCTCTGGCTTTGCAGACTGCGCCTGGGGTCCACCGGAGGCTCTTTCGGAAAGTGCACAACCTCATTTCGGCCTTCCAGAAACCCAACCAAGGCATTGTGACACCCCTGCAGAACCCAGTTGTCAACCACATGAAAGCCAGCTACTCCCCAGGTACTGGTGGGGGGAGGAAACCTTGGCTGCAGTTGAGCAGAGCACTCCACAGTGGCAGGCATAGAGGTCTTAGACTTGTACATTTGACCTGAACTAGCCAGCAGAGTGACCTTGCCAAAAACGTGCTCTTAACCTTGCTATCGTGTAATTTGAAATGCTGTCGCTCAGGCACTCATTACAGACAGGGCCTGTCAATGTGATAAGAAAATGGATTTTGAATATGTATTCCTGAGTGCTATGGGAGCAATAGCTGCCTTCCCTCACCACCACCCTTGCTTATGGAAGTATGAGCCTTCTGGACTGTCCATTTTCTTACAGTGTTCATCTATTCAAATATTTGTGATTATTTCTCTTAGGGAGGAATGAAGGCTATGACTTCCACCTGCAGCCATCATGAGGATGTCTCCTGAAGTGTGACATAACCACATCTTCCAGCATCTCCTCTAATCTATGCTTTAAAACAGAATGATTTATATGATAGTAAATACAACTCTGTGAGTTTTTCTTGTAACATTTGCAGAAATGTGTATTTCATAGAATTTATTGCTCAAGATGTAGAAGGTTAGATTTTAGAGTACTTTGAACTTAGGCTGGGGTATTTTTTGGTTTTGTTTTGGTTTTTCCCAAGAGAGGATAAAAAAGCATGAAGTGCTAAATCCTTTATGTCTATTTTTCCCCTTTGTACTGTCAAGTAAAAATATTTTTCCCTTCAAGATCAGTTCTTAATTAATAATTAGTTATTAATTTTACATTGCTTAACTTTGGATCCTGCTTTGCTTTGTTCTGGTTGGTATTTATGCAGAATTGGGCAAGTCCCCGTAGGAGAATTGTTTACATTAAAGTGTCCTTGCCTTGGATGGGCTGTGTGTTTGTCATTCATAGAGTTCCTAAAGATATTCCAGACATGAAACCATGAGGATCCTCACTAACTGATTTCCCATCAAAGCGGTTGTCCTGCCCTCTAACAAAATCTGTAGTTTTCACCAATGACCAAGAGCATAGGTAATGCACAGAGTAAAAAAGAACATCTGATGAAGTGGAAAGCCTTGTTCTTTGCTTTTAGGTGTTCCCTGTACTTGAAACAAGCCATCCTTGCATACAAGTTAAAAAATAAATTATTTTTGCATGACAGCTTTTCTTTTCCTCTCTGTGTGTTTCCATACTGCTGCTGGGCTCTTGGAGGAGAGTTTTGGATCTAGAGGACTCATTAGCTGTGCAGGGTTAGCATGAGGCTGCTGGAGAACTCAGAGGACGTGCCTTTTGCACTTGGGCTGGAACATGTGTGATGGCACAGTGCTAATGGACTGGCAGACGGTAGGAAACACTTTTGAACACTTTTTTTTTGGGTGTCCTATGGTCCTCTTGTTTGAGGAGATAGGGTTGTGTTGCACTGCTGTCCACAGTCCAGACTGCCTCTATGTGGCTTTTTGCCAGGTAGGCTTGTGTGAATTCCTGTGGGCTTTGGGAGGGACCCCAGCTAGGGCCCAGCCTCGTTCGTGTGCAAGGGGGATGCATCTGGTCCCGATGGCTGGTTTGTGCCACTAGCAGTCATGCTTCAACAAACATAAATGGTTCTGACTACCAAAAGAATGTGAGTCTCACGTGCTCCCATCCAAAGCAGAAGACTAACAGTGATTAAAACTGGACTACAAAAATATATGTAATTACAGAAAAACATTCCTTAAACATTGTATAGGCACCTTTGGGTTGCTCTGGTTGTGTTTTATGCCTATACTTGTCTCTGCAGATCTTGGAAGGCTGAAAGTATTTCCTAAGAGAGAAAGAGGCTTTTTCCAGAAATGCCAGGCTGCAGACTCAGGGAGAACAAAACTGACTGAATTTCACCAGCCGCTGCCACCTGCAGCTTGGTGGCACAGAAGGAGGCCCCACATCTGCCTTGTTTTCACCTCACTAAAGGCAAGTTGGATGTGAACAATGACAGAACTATGTGGGCTGCAAGTCCATGATTCAGCATGGTGGATGCTCCAAGTAACATTTGATAAAGCTGAAGGGTTTACCTTTTTACCCCGAGTGTGTGAGACAGTGCATGCAATAGCAGATACTCTGTGAAGCTCAAGTTTCTTGTAAATAGGAGTAAGTGCAATAAATGAACATCCCCGTCTTAACAGGGACTAGTGGGCAACAATGTTGCAAAGTTGTGGTTGAGGCATTTTCAGTTCATTACTCAGTTTCTGTCTAATTGAAGGCCAAATTTCATCTACGGTGAACTGTCCTATCATATTTTACACTGCACGTACACGTGTTGCTCTGTGTCTTTTTTGTATGTGTGCTTGTTGGTTGAAATTAGTCTTACCTTAATACAGTGCCATACAGTGGCAGATCCAGCATGTTTTTCTGTTTAGTAAAATATTTAAAGGCTAGTTTTTTTTGTCATTACATAACCCAGCAAATGCAGTGGCTGGTTTGCTGTCACTTGTGCCCATTGAAGCTTTCCCTTCTCCTCCCTGCCTTAAAGGTTTCCCAGCCTGCTGTGAGCCAGTGGCATCTGGTCCCTGGCAGTTCCTCTCCAGCTTTGCAAACCACGCTTCCCCAAAGCCTGCTGAGCTGCTGGGTGCTGGCAGTGTGTGTGTGCAGCCCCAGCCTTCCCAGGGAGCTCTTCTGCTTTCCAAATGCTAGCTCTAAATCCCTCATTCACCTGGCCTCTCCTGGGAGCAGGAACAGGTGTGCCTGGAAATCATCCCTAGCAGATGATTGCACAGTGGTAGGGATGCATGCAGTGGGAAGAACTTTGCCCAGGGGCTGTTTCCTATTGAACTGTCCTATATTGACTTGAGGCTGAGGCTGCATGTGGAAAACCTGCAGCACACGAGCAGCAGCTGCTCACTCACTTTGCAGTGCAGCGAGCCGAGGATAACTGGTTTGACTGTGGTTGACTCCAGAAGTGCATTGTTCTTCTAAAAAATACATAAAATAGGCCAGAAGATGCCATTTCTGTTTAAAGCTGAGAATGTAGTTTCAGTTTCTGGTGTAAATTATTAAGACAGAGGCTTGTATTGTTTCTTTTGGGTACCCAAGGGTCTGGAATTACTGCAGGCTTAAACAAGGTGGAGACAGAGAGAAGCTGGTGGTGCCTGTGAGACAAGAAGTAGATGCTTGGTTATGGAAACAGTAATTTGGAAATTATATTGATTTCCTACAATGACCTAGGTGTGAAGAGCTACAGATCCTTTTAGAGAGCAGCAGCTGCATTCATTTTGCCAGTATGACTTTCCACATGATGTCAGTATTGCCTGCTGCTTCCCTCCCACCATCTCCTTCAGGCTGCAGCCCCACTGGGCACAGCCCCTTGCTGCTGCCCTGTTCCCCTCCAGCCCTCCCACCCCTGTCCCCTCGCTGCCACAGCCCCAGATCTGCAAGTGGCTTTGTAGCTCAATATGTTGCCCCTGCTCTGGCCCTCTCCCCAATGCTGCTCCTCTGCAGCAACTGAGGCTCCCACAGCTCTGGCTTTGCCTCCACTAAGCCCTCCCCTGTCCCTGCCTATGGCTGTGACAGCCCTCCTGCAGCACTCAATCAGTACAATATCCCAGGCTGGTTTTCTTCCCTTTTCTACTGGAGCACCCACCCCTTTGGCATTGCTTCCTCCTCATCCACCCAGCACAGCCTCAGCCCTCCTGCTTGGTTCTTACCCAGCCCAGCTGTTCCATGGTTTTTCACCATGTAACCTTTCCTTTAGCCTTATGCATTCCTTGTGCCCCTCCATTCATTTGCTCCTTCTCTCTGCTGCGTGTACTGGGCTTTTATTTTCCTGGGCACATACTTTTCATAACAGAATCATTCATCATCATCTATTTGAGGCAGCTCTAAAGAACATGCACTTTGCTAAAGAACACTTAAACTTTGCTACTCACACTGCCAGCAACATTGACTTCACCCACACTGTTATCATGAGTGCAAAGGCATTTAACAGAATATTTTTTCACTCTCACATTTGCTTTGAAGAAATATAATCATTTTTACACAGAAACTGGCTGGGATTTCACCTGCAGTGAAACCTGCAGAGTTATAAGCATGAACTTTGGTGAATTGGAATTAAAATTAAATCTTGCTAAGCAATATCCTGCCCCCAACTTTTGAGTCAGTCAATATTGGCTGAAGTCCTCGTTTAGCTCTGTGGAAGCACCTTTTACTGACATGACTAGAATATTTCAAATACTGATGTAAACTGATGTAAACAAAGACAACATCACATGCCATAAGTTTGCACCTTTATTTTTTAAAAATGAAATAGTCAAAGTACTTTCTTTTTCAAATATCGACACATAATATATTAACTTTCAATATTTACAGTGTGTTGCTGGGATGTTCTTGTAGAAAATGCATGCTTCTGGTCTGAAACCCAGAGCAAAATGCATCAGACCATTTAACTGCAGCCATATAACATAAACCTGTACAGTATCCAGTCACTATTCAGCACAGGAGTTAGAGCAGGAATAAAAAAATTGGGATCTATTGTTTCCTAGCAACGAGGCTGAGGCCATTATAACACAATTTCTGTAAGATCAGAACCTCTAACTGGTGTTAGACAGAAAGTGAAGATCTTGGCATACATTGTAAACATTTTTTACTGTTGATGAGAAAGCTAAAAAGGAACATTACTTTGACATATATTGTATGCTATGCTTCTCTTTCTTGTTTATTGACACTTCTGCCAGAAGAGTATGAAGATTTTAATGTTTTATCATGGTTCATACAAGTAAAATACTGTCAAGGACACAATCTGATATACTAACATTTATTAAAAGGCTAAAGTCCACCACGAGATCTAAGGAAAAACTGGAAATTGTCAAACACGTTTCCTTAGACAAATAATGGCAGGTGACAAATGCCCAGACAAATCCACAGAGAGTCCAACTCCACCATTCCCAGTTTCTGCCTGGAAGTGATTCCTCTGGCAGTCAGGGTGCTTTCAGCCTGGTAATGTTTTGTATCAAGGAGAGGTTTGAATAACAGCTAGCGTTTGATGGGAAAACCCCATGGGCTGCTGGTGCAGCCTGAGCCGGTGTCACCCGTGTGTCACCGCTCGGATCAGCCGCACCCCGGACACACGGCCACCCCCAGGCACTGCCTGTCTCCTTCGGCTCGGCTGAACCTCGAGCTCCTCTGCCTTAACCACTTTCCCTTTTGGAACAGCACCTTGGCTTCCAACAGCATCCGTCGCTCACCTGGGAGGAGCTGCTGCCCCCGCCCAGCCTGGGCACTGCCGGGGGCTTCGTGGGCAGGGGGTGCAGGGTGGCACCCCAGAGCACAAAGCCATCTCTGCCCAGTGCCCTGCTGAGGGATGCAAGAGAGCTCAAACCAAAGAGCCAAGGTGTGTATACCCACTTGCACATTGACCAGTTCGTATATATTTATTTGGCTATGTTCTACATAGATATCTATATATATATATTTATAACTTTGAAATGTTCTAGATTTACTAAATAAATATGAAAGCAAAGGAAATGTTACTTGTACACACTATTTGTTTGTCGGTCGTAAAAA